ATTAGAACTGGACAAGATTCCAATGCTCTATTTATTCATGTGAGATTTTAACCATCCAATTGATTTTCAAAAAGTTTAGAAAGTTGTATCAAGCAAGTCCATGGTCGACAGGAATATAATTGAATCTTGTTTCATAAAAAGCAGTTGTAAAAATAATATATTTCTTTTGGTTTATATAAATTGGATTCATTTATAATTAATAAAATTTGGGAATAATTTAATGATACATTAAACAAGTATAAAATCTTAATGCTTGGGTAAAGAATCAGGTGCATTTCACAGAGTCGGGTGTTGTCACGCGACTGTGAGGTGTAGTCTTGTTGTGGTGACGTGACTGTGAGGTGTAATCTTGTTGTGGTGACGTGACTGTGAGGTGTAATCTTGTTGTGGTGACGTGACTGTGAGGTGTAGTCTTGTGGTGACGTGACTGTGAGGTGTAATCTTGTGGTGACGTGACTGTGAGGTGTAGTCTTGTTGTGGTGACGTGACTGTGAGGTGTAATCTTGTTGTGGTGACGTGACTGTGAGGTGTATTTGTGGTAGTGATTGGGGGGGGTTGTAATCTTGTTATTTATTTATTTGGGGGGTACGTATTATTTTTGTGGTGACGTGACGTGGGTGTGTCTTTTTTGGGACCGCGTGAGTTTCTTTTTTGGGGTGAGTGTGGGAATTGGTGGTGACGTGATGTAGGTGAAAATCTTTTTACTAAATTTTATTTTTATTTTATTAATTTTTTACTCTTATTATTTTTTTTTAGGGTATCTTTTACAACTTATATTTTTCTTTTTATTTTTTTACTACTTTTATTTTTTTTTTATACTTATTTTTTTTTAACAACAATAACTTTTTTTTCACTTAAGGTGAGTGACGTAGGTGTAGTTTGTTGTGGTACGTGACTGTGAGGTTATCTTGTTGTGGTACGGACTGTGAGGGTAATCTTGTGGTGGTGACTGTGGGTGTAGTTTGTGGTGCGTGACTGTGGGTGTAGTTTTTGTTGTGGTACGTGCGTGAGGTGATCTTTGTTGTGGTACGGCTGTGGGGTGTAGTTTGTTGTGGTGACGTACTGTGAGGTGTAATCTTGGGTGAGTGAGTGAGTGTGCTTGTGGTGACGTGATGTAGGTGTTCTTGTTGTGGTGACGTGACTGTAAGGTGTAATTTTTTGTGGTGACGTGACTGTGAGGTGTAGTCTTGTTGTGGGACGGACTGTGAGGTGTAATTTTGTGGGACGTGAGTGAGGTGTAGTCTTTGGTGACGTGACTGTGAGGTGAATCTTGTTGTGGTGACGGGACGTGGGGTGAAATCTTTTTTGTGGGACGTAACGTGAGGTGTAGTCTTGTTGTGGGGATAACGTGAGGTGTAGTCTTGTTGTGGTGACGTGCTGTGAGGTGTAGTCTTTGTTGGGGTGAGTGATTTAGGTTAGTCTTGTTTGGTGACTAATTTTGGGAGTGTTCTTGTTGTGGGACGTAACTGTGAGGTGTAGTCTTGTTGGTGGTAACTTGAGGTGTAGTCTTGTTGTGGTGGTACTGTGGGGTTGTTAGTCTTGTTGTGTTGACGTGACTGGAGGTGTGTCTTGCCCTTTATACCTTCCTTTTGTTTTTTTGTTTTATAGTTCCTTGATAATGTAGAAAGAAACCGTTTGGAATTTTCCTTTTTTTTTCCCAGGGGTTGTTTTGCTAAGTGATATAACTGTTTCATGTGACTTATTGTGTTATATATTTTTAAATATATATAAAATTTTTATATTTATATATTTATTTAAAAATTTTATAAAATTATAAAATATGCAAAAAAACCACTCGAAAGAATAGAGAAATTCCAACCTTCGTGACTCCCCACATTATTGTTAATGTGGTGTCACAAAAAGCGTTGGGAAAAATTTCTCTATTCTTTCAGAGTGGTTGTTTTGCATATTCAAAATCCCCTGTTTTACTGTGATCTTATTGCATTTATATATAAAAAATATATATTATAAAATTTTTATATTTAATATATATTATATATAATAAAATTATAATAATTTATATATATATATAATAATATATTATAAAAATATTATATTATATAAAATTTTTTATACCGCAATTTAATACCCCCAAAAATATTAAAAATAAAAATAAAGGAATTTTCACAGATTTTTCTCACTTAGGCTAGGCTGGGTAAGGGCTGTAAGAACGGACAATTGTTTCCTGACCGGATTTTTGTCACTGAGACCCCCCGCTGGAGCTTTTGGTATCTGAGGGGCC